GGGACAGGAGGTGAGGGGAAGTCTCTCTCTAGCGAGGTCACAGGAACAGGAAGTGATGGGAAGTCTCCCTCCAGTGGGGGAAGTCAGAGAAAAAGGAAGTGAAGGGAAGCCTCTCTCCAGTGGGGCCACAGGAACAGGAAGTCTCCCTCCATTGGGGTCACTGGAACAGTTAGGAAAACTTCCATTGGTGTCACAAAAACAGGAAGTCTCCCTCCAGTGGTGTCACAGGAACAGGAAGTGAGGGAAAGTCTCTCTCCAGTGGAATCACAGAAACAAGAAGTGAAGGGCCGCTGAATGCCTGCTTCTCCTCCTCTCCCTCCAACAAGCAATCAGCGGCTGCAGGAGGGGGAATGCAGAACATCCGTTGCTCTATTTGCCTCCCACCGCCCCTCACATCCAGGTGGGCAGGACCGGGGCAGCTGTCAAAGACCAGCCAATGATTGGTCTGCTTAATAAAAGTGGCAGAAACATAGCAGCCTACTCAGTCCCCATCCCATTGGCTGGCATTTAACAGCTGCTCTGGTCTCGCCCACCCCTGACATCACCACTCAGTTTTGTCAGTTAGCTTTCTCCAAGCTCTTGCAAGCCTCACCATCTGATGCAGAACGGTTTTATCTGGCTGTGAGAGGAGCGCTGAGTCTGCGGTCGGTCCTCATGTGTCCCAGCTGTATCCTCCTCCTCCAGCCAGTGCAGCCTTTTAGAGCGGCCCAGGGGGGCTGTCATTTTTAGAACCCCACCTCCATGGTGGTACAGACCGGCGGTCTCTGAGTCCTGTTCTGCCCACTACAGCAAGCAGGGATGGAAGTACATCCCTGCTTCCTGTAGATAGAACTATAGATGGGAAGTGCCAAGACCAATGGCTGAGGGAATACGAGGAATAGCAGCCACCAATATTACAAGCAGGACACCCCAGTTTGATTTGAAAATCATCTGGGTATATCAAAGCAACTACTGGGTTAACAAGAAGATGGATGACATATTCAATGAAGGTAGGAAATCAGCAACAAGGACATATAAAAGACGTTTTTGCGCAGAGTTCTGTTTTAAGCAAAAAGTGATTTTTACTGGTACCCCAGGCAAAAGTGAGCATTTAATCACTGCAGCGCAGGGGAAGCCTCACTGCAAGGGTAGTTTTTTACATTCGTGGAGTTCAGGTTTAAAGCAGTATGAAAACCAAAACCAAAAATATATTGCAGCTTACTCATTAGATGTAGTGGTTGTATTAGTTTTCTTTTTTTCAGCTTTTTCCCCTAGTGATCTGGTCAGTAATACACCTACTGTATTATACAGACACCACTCTGGATGAATGAGCACAGGGGATAGATTTGGATAAGTGCACTTACAGTCTGGAAGAGAATGTTAGAAGTACTAGCAGATTTAAATACAGTAACAAACTGAACCTGAACTCCAGCTAATGCTTTATAATCAGTTACAGCAAACAGTTTTTTATTTTCTTTTGGGATAAGGGTCTTCCATAAATAAAAGCTGATCATTTTAAGCACCCCTGTCAGTGTTATATGGTCTGTCTTATCCATGTTTTCTGTTGAAAAACAACAGACTTACTGGCTGGATTACCAGATGAAAATAGAAGAAAGGAAGCATAAAAAATGAAACAAATGCAGCCATCACATCTGAGAATTGGTAAACTGCAATATAATAAATGTTTGCTTTTGGGTTTAATACTGCTTTAAAGTGTTTTTAATATTTGTTCACAATATTTAAACATTTTAGTGTGCAGTCTGGACACAGGTTCAGTTTAAGTATTGTTTTTCGGTCATTCATTCAAATCAGTCCCTTGAGGGTTAGAGACTGATATGAATGTACAATATACAGTATACAGTATGTACAATATACAGTATATGTAAAGCGCTGCGTAAATTGACAGCGCTATATAAGTACCTAAATAAATAATAAAGTGTTGTGGTCAGAGGAGACCAAAATCCAGCTCTTTGGCATCAACTCAACTTGCCGTGTTTGGAGGAGAAGGAATGCAGTCTATGACCCCAAGAACACCATCACAACCTGTCAAACATGGTGGTGGAAACAATCTGCTTTGGGGGTGTTTTTCTGCTAAGGGGACAGGACAACTGCACCACATCAAAAGGGACGATGGACGGGGCAATGTACCATCAAATCTTGGGTGAGAACCTTCTTCCCCAGCCAGGGCATTGAAAATGGGTTGTGGATGGGTGTTCCAGCATGACAATGACCCAAAACACACGGCCAAGGCAACAAAGGAGTGGCTTAAGAAGAAGCACATTAAGGTCTTGGAGTGGCCTAGCCAGTCTCCAGACCTTAACCCGATTGAAAATCTGTGGAGGGAGCTGAAAGTTCGAGTTGTCAAACGTCAGCCACCAAACCTTAATGACTTGGAGAGGATCTGCCAAGAGGAGTAGGCCAAAATCCCTCCTGAGATGTGTGCAAACCTGGTGGCCAACTATAGGAAACCTCTGACCTCTGTGATTGCCAACAAGGGATTTGCCACCAAGTACCAAGTCATGTTTTGTGAAGGGGATCAAATACTTATTTCCCTCATGAACATGCAAATCAGTGCATCATTTGTGCATTTCTGTAGAATTTTTAGTTGCTATTCTGTCTCTCAGTGTTACAATACACCTACCATTCGATTTTTAGACTGATCATTTATTTGTGAGTGGGCAAACATTCAAAATCAGTAGGGGATCAAATACTTATTTCCATCACTGTATATATATAAATATATATTTTTTTTAAATGTAATAAACAGCAGACTTACCCACAAATCATGTTCTGCATAATCAAAGAGTAGCCAAACTTTTCTGTCACTGTGAGACAGGAATACTTTTTGTAATGCAATTACGTTTGGGTGCTTCAATTCACGTAACAGCTAAAAAAAAAAAGAAAGAATGCATTGTATTGGAAAATAGTTTAAAACTTGCATTTTAAGACATATAAAAAAAAGTTAGAAAAGCGTTTAAAAAGAATGATGCTTTATGGATTCAAAATTTCTTCAACATTTGGGAATCCTTCATTCAAAACCTTGCCTGTACAAACTCAATCTATAATGCAATGCTTTCAATAAACTCAATGGTATCTACTCAGACTCTTGACCAATGATCCTCCATTTGACATTCCACACCCCTCTTAAATTCAATTGCACCTATTAAACTACAACTTCAGGCCTTCCCCTCTTCCTTTGCTTGCTTCCTTCTAGTCTGACCGCCATCCATTTAAAGCTTTGTTAATATACACCACTAGACACAGCACTGTTAAATCTCTTTCAGCTTATTTTAACATACTGTACATTGCCTTTCTTGATTTGATTTGTTGGCCAAATGTTGTGGCCATTGTTCTCGTTAATGGAATTTTCGCAATAATAATTAAAAAAAAAAAAAAAAATGAATGATGCTTTGTATCTTACAGCAACTTGTTATACAATTGTTTAAACTGTAACTCCACTTTTGTTGAGGCTAGTTCCAAATGCATTACGTGCTGATGCTCTCTTGATGCATTCCACCCACTACAGTGCTTAGTGTGAGTATCAATCTGCTATAATCACATGACCCAACCAACTACTATTATATTAAAGCGGAACTAAACATATTATTTAAAGTGATACTAAAGCTAAAACGTTTTTTTACCTTAATGCATCCATCAGATGGACAAACACTAAAATGCAAATGTAATGTTTAATAACATTACAAAATGGCATGTGTAGTATTAATAAATGCCAAATATTTTTTTTGTTGTAGAGGAGAGAAAGGTTATGTCAGGGCTCCCAGGTATGACCAGAGATGTGTGACTGACGCAGAGAAACGCAGACTTCAGATATGTGATAAACAATATAATTTAACAACACTAACAATACAAACATAAACGCAGTGCAATACTAAACATAATACAGTGCAAACAAACCCAACCAAGCACCCACAGATAACAGTACATACAAGCAAGCGTCGTCAGGCAGGCCGGGTCAATATCAATTGGGCAGGTAGGTACAGGGGGAGCAAGCGGAGAATGGTCGGGGGTCACAGGCCAGGTTCAGCAGGTAGCAAGCAGCGTAGTACAGAGGGTCAGGCAGAGGGATGGTCAGGGTCACAAGCCAGGGATCAGAACAGGTAGCAAGCAGCGTAGTACAGAGGGTCAGGCAGAGGGATGGTCAGGAGCAAGCTGGGATCAGAGCAGGAGAAGTCAGCAGCAGTTCAGATCAGGCAGGGTCAGCAAAGAAACAGGATGCAGGACAGATACAGGACCTAGGACAAACACAACACCAAGGCAGAGTCTGTGGGTCTGGCCATCCCTTAAATACCCCAGCATAATTAGTTCCAGGTGTTTGACTGGCTGCAAGGTTGAGTCTCTGATTGCTGGGAGCACACGCTGGCCAGCCCTGGTACTGCAGCTCATAAGGCAGCTGAGTCCCCACTATTGCTGGCCAGTCCATTCCTGACAGTACCCCCCCCCTCAAGGAGCGGCCTCAGGATGCTCCAAACAGTCCTAGCTGGGCAAAATGTTCCACCGCCCGGGTCTGGTAACTGGCGGGATATCAAAGACTGGCACACCGGGCAGGACTCCGGGCAGCGGCACACCGGGCAGCAGAGGCACACCGGGCTGGACTCCGGGCAGAGGCACACCGGGCAGTGGTACACCGGGCTGGACTCCGGGCAGAGGCACATCGGGCAGGACTCCGGGCAGAGGCACATCGGGCAGGACTCCGGGCAGAGGCACATCGGGCAGGACTCCGGGCAGAGGCACATCAGGCAGGACTCCGGGCAGAGGCACATCGGGCTGGACTCCGGGCAGAGGCACATCGGGCTGGACTCCGGGCAGAGGCACATCGGGCTGGACTCCGGGCAGAGGCACATCGGGCTGGACTCCGGGCAGAGGCACATCGGGCTGGACTCCGGGCAGAGGCACATCGGGCTGGACTCCGGGCAGAGGCACATCGGGCTGGACTCCGGGCAGAGGCACATCGGGCTGGACTCCGGGCAGAGGCACATCGGGCTGGACTCTGGGCAGAGGCACATCGGATTACCAGGCGGAGCAGCAGGCACCGGGCCCCCGGGCGGGGCAGCGGGCACCGGGCCCCCGGGCGGGGCGACGGGCGTCGGGCTCCCAGGCGGGGCGACGGGCGTCGGGCCCCCAGGCGGGGCGACGGGCGTCGGGCCCCCGGGCGGGGCGACGGGCCCCCGGGCGGGGCGACGGGCATCGGGCCCCCGGGCGGGGCGACGGGTGTCGGGCTCCCGGGCGGGGCGACGGGCGTCGGGCCCCTGGGCGGGGCGACGGGCGTCGGGCCCCCGGGCGGGGCGACGGGCCCCCGGGCGGGGCGACGGGCATCGGGCCCCCGGGCGGGGCGACAGGTCTCGGGCCCTCAGGCGGAGCGGCGGGCGCCGGACCCCCAGGTGGAGCGACAGGTCTCGGGCCCCCAGGCGGAGCGACAGGTCTCGGGCCCTCAGGCGGAGCGGCGGGCGCCGGACCCCCAGATGGAGCGACAGGTCTCGGGCCCTCAGGCGGAGCGACAGGTCTCGGGCCCCCAGGCGGAGCGGCGGGCGCCGGACCCCCAGGCGGAGCGGCGGGCGCCGGACCCCCAGGCGGAGCGGCGGGCGCCGGACCCCCAGGCGGAGCGGCAGGTCTCGGGCCCCCAGGCGGAGAGCGACAGGTCTCGGGCCCCCAGGCGGAGCGACAGGTCTCGGGCCCCCAGGCGGAGCGACAGGTCTCGGGCCCCCAGGCGGAGCGGCGGGCGCCGGACCCCCAGATGGAGCGACAGGTCTCCGTCCCTCAGGCGGAGCGGCGGGCGCCGGACCCCCAGGTGGAGCGACAGGTCTCGGGCCCTCAGGCGGAGCGGTGGGCGCCGGACCCCCAGGTGGAGCGACAGGTCTCGGGCCCTCAGGCGGAGCGGCGGGCGCCGAGTCACCAGGCACGACAGTGGGCTCCGAGTCAACTGGCATGACCGCTGGCACTGGGTCAGACATTGGATCGTCTGGCTGGACAGCGGGCATCGGGTCACCAGGCATCAGGTCATTTGGCTCGACCGCGGGCACCGCATCATCTGGCAAGGCAGTGGGCTCTGAGTCAACTGGCATGACCGCGGGCACTGGGGCAGACATTGAATCGTCTGGCTGGACAGCGGGCATCGGGTCAACAGGCATCAGGTCATTTGGCTCGACAGCGGGCACCGCGTCATCTGGCAAGGCAGTGGGCTCCGAGTCAACAGGCACGACAGTGGGCACCGGGTCATCAGGTACCGGATTGTCTGGCTCGACAGCGGGCATCGGGTCACCAGGTATGACAGCGGGCACTGGGTCACCAGGCATCAGGTCATTTGGCTTGCCAGCGGGCACCACGTCATCTGGCAAGGCAGTGGGCACCGGGTCACCAGGCATTGGATCGTCTGGCTCGACAGCGGGCATCGGGTCACCAGGTATGACAGCGGGCACTGGGTCACCAGGCATCAGGTCATTTGGCTCGCCAGCGGGCACCGCGTCATCTGGCAAGGCAGTGGGCACCGAGTCACCAGGTACGACAGCGGGCTCTGAGTCAATTGGCACGACAGCGGGCACCGGATCAGGTACCGGATCATCTGGATCAACAGCGGGCATCGAGTCAACTGGCCTAATAGGATCGTCAGGCTGGATCAGTTCATCATGCTGGGTAGAGGCATCAGGCTGAATGCCGGCGTCCGGCTGAGTAGAGGCTTCAGGCCGAGTAGAGGCTTCAGGCCGAGTAGAGGCTTCAGGCCGAGTAGAGGCTTCAGGCCGAGTAGAGGCTTCAGGCTGCGTACAGGCATCAGGCTGCGTAGAGGATTCAGGCTGAGTAGAGGATTCAGGCTGAGTAGAGGATTCAGGCTGAGTAGAGGATTCAGGCTGAGTAGAGGATTCAGGCTGAACCACGGAAGGCAGGTTCACCGGTTTGGATACTGGCAGGATGGTATTGGTTGGAAAGAATTTTCGCTTTTTTCTGGTTTTAACTACTGGAGCACTGCAAGTAAACGCAGGTCTGCAAACGAATGGAGCAGCTGGAGACAGAGAAGAACTGGAGGATGGAACAGGAGAGGGAGCAGTTGCTACAGAGGGCTTTTTTACAGGGTTAAAGGCAGGATAGGTGCAGCGAGTGGGAACAGGGGACTGACATGCGGTAGATAGCCAAGTATACTGGGCTGTAACTGGAGGAGCTGTTGGGAATACAGGAGTAGATTAGAAGCAGGACTGGGTTTTTGTAAGCTGACTGAGGCTGGGTGCAACAAGTCTGTCCATGTCTGCAGTATGGGTTGAACAAAGCTGAGCTTACACAAAGCCTGTCTGACCAAAGACTGCACTGGGTTTATACAATCTCTTAGTGTCTGTGGTGAACATGTGGAATAACGCTCCAGAAAGTAACCCACATCATCCTCTAATAACCACACCAGGGACTCTACCTGGTCTGCACTAAATGGTGGCAAAAATTCATCCCTGCATTCGGGGGTACCAGATGAAACCAACTCTGCACAAACCTCAATCAATGGCTGCACCTCAGAGAACTCTGTGCCCTGATCTACTTGAACATGAGCGAGCCGTATACATTCTAGCAGTTCATCCCGGGGATACTCCTTCAGAGTCTGATAAGCATACTCCCTGTCATCAAACACTAGCAGAGATAAATACGCAATCTCATCCAGATCCATCCTTCCCATCAACAAGCCAAGATGGCTTCCCTGTGCAGCCACTTGTGGTCAGGATTGGCCTTGGTGTAATGTCAGGGCTCCCAGGTATGACCAGAGGTGTGTGACTGACGCAGGGAAACGCAGACTTCAGATATGTGATAAACAATATAATTTATTAACACTAACAATACAAACATAAACGCAGTGCAATACTAAACATAATACAGTGCAAACAAACCCAACCAACCACCCACAGATAACAGTACATACAAGCAAGCGTCGTCAGGCAGGCCGGGTCAATATCAATTGGGCAGGTAGGTACAGGGGGAGCAAGCGGAGAATGGTCGGGGTCACAGGCCAGGTTCAGCAGGTAGCAAGCAGCGTAGTACAAAGGGTCAGGCAGAGGGATGGTCAGGGTCACAAGCCAGGGATCAGAACAGGTAGCAAGCAGCGTAGTACAGAGGGTCAGGCAGAGGGATGGTCAGAGTCACAAGCCAGGGATCAGAACAGGTAGCAAGCAGCGTGGTACAGAGGGTCAGGCAGAGGGATGGTCAGGAGCGAGCCGGGATCAGAGCAGGAGAAGTCAGCAGCAGTTCAGATCAGGCAGGGTCAGCAAAGGACCAGAAACAGGATGCAGGACAGATACAGGGCCCAGGACAAACACCAAGGCAGAGTCTGTGGGTCTGGCCATCCCTTAAATACCCCAGCATAATCAGTTCCAGGTGTTAGCTGGCTGCAAAGTTGAGTCTCTGATTGCTGGGAGCACCCGCTGGCCAGCCCTGGTACTGCAGCTCATAAGGCAGCTGAGTCCTACTATTGCTGGCCATTGCATTCCTGACAGGTTATAACCTTTGACAAGTTTTTACTGGTGTATTTGCCCCCACAGAGACAATTTATCTTTGCTTCCGTTCATGCTGACACCCTGTAGGTGATCTTTAAAAAAATGAAAAAAAGAAATGAACATTGGAGAAGTTGTCAATAGCAACCAGTTTAAATTCCTATTTATATTTGAGTTCCATTAAACAATGTAAGCTCAACTTCAACTATAAGCTGTTTTGTTAATGTTGTACGTGGAATTAAATGCTACCCACTGATTAATATGCTAGCAAAGGAAAAAAATCTGTGTTTTGCGAACAGTAGGCCCTCATTTGGGGTGGGATGCCTTTAAAGTCCCTGTTAGAGCACAATACATTTCAATAATTAGGCACATCAGAAAGTCTTATCTGTCACCCTAAAGCGCCCTATAACAGTTTGAACAAAATGTTGCATTGAATCCTACTGATCAAAATTTTGGGGAACTAAATTGAAGAGATCTCCTCTTACCTCGAAAACAGACCTTGTGAGCTGTTCCCATTTAAAGTTGTAAAGGCTGAAAGGTTTTTACCTTTATGCATTCTATGTATACAGGTAAAAACCTTCTGCGTGCCCCCCCCCCCCCCCCAGCACCCTAATACTCACCTGAGCCCACTCTCGATCCATTGATGTGTACAGGAGCCTCGGCTGTCCCAGGTCTCTCTCAGCTCACTGGCTGAGACACAGAAGTGGGAGCCATTGGCTCCAACTGCTGTCAGTCACTACCACTGAGCCAATGAGGAAAGAGTAGGGCCAAGCCATGGCTCTATGTGTCTTATTGAAACATAGAATAGGGCTCGGGAGTGAGCACGCACCAATGCCCCCATGGAGGCACTGGTCAAAAAGGGGAGGAGCCAGGAGCACCGGCAGAGGACCCAAGCAGAAAAAAATCAGAGCTGTTCTGCAAAACTATTGCACAGAACAGGTAAGAATGACATGTTTGTTTGTTTTTAAAAAAAAGCTGATGCTTTAATATCATTTTAAATTTGCGTGAAAAGATGTTTGAAGGAGGGGCCAAAAATGATAAAAAAATTAGCCAAATTTGGTGTCTGAACATTCTGTGCAGGCCGATGTTCCTTGTATTAAAACCATGAATGGTGTGTTTCGGACTGACTCCTGGGATATCTTGGGAGCCTTCTTGATTATTTTAAAAACCTCTCCCCCATTGCACTGTATGACCAGGTTGCTTATTCTGACAGCTTACAACAATTGCCCATTTTAATGTTATTATATCAGAATAGGAGCTTCTGGCATACTCCATTTACTCTAGATGAATATAATCATAATGTCCTTCCCTAATAATAAAAGTCCTGGTCCTGACAGCATTCCATTAGACTGGTATAAATTATACATAGAGGAGCTTGTCCTGACACTCTGTGACTTGTACTGTATATGCAGTTTCAGGAACAGGGGACCCTCCCTTAATCCATGTACCAGGTGTATATAGTCCTCATACCTAAACTAGAAAAAGATCCTTTGGATTGTGGCTCATACAGGAAAATTGTTTACTTAGGTGTATGTTTATTAAGCAGAGATAAATTCATCTTATTTCAGTTCTCTGCAGTTCTCAGGGGAAAAATCTTCTCCTCTGTCACTCTGTTTATGAAGCGGAGAACATTTGTTCTCTGAAGGAGAAAAGAGAAGTTTTTCCTCTGAGATCAGCTGAGATCTGTGTAGAGGGGGAGGGCTGCATGTGATCTCCTGAGATAATTGTGTGATTACAGATCACCTGAGTTTTAAACAGTGAAACCAAAATTTAAAAAGACCATGCAATTACATGAAAATAATAAGCACTGACCACTGGTATTTTTTAATGCACATTTGGCACACATTCTTTAAATGTGTATTTTGGCTCTTTGTTATTGCGCATTTTAGCATTATTTACGTTCATTTTGCCACTTTTTAACATGCTGTATTTTTTTAAATGCATTTTGATGTGGGTTTCTTTAATGTGCATTTTGGCACTTTTCTAAACACACATTTAGGCGCTTTAATGCACATTTTGGCACAGGTTATGTACATATACATGGTGTGGTTTGTAAGGCACATTTTGGCACTTTTCCTAGCACAAATAATGGCACCGCAAGAAAGATATTCATTTTGCATGCATTTCCAGAACACACACAAAAACGAAAGGGAAATAATGAGCCAAAATACATGTTAAAGCACCAAAATCCACATAAAAAATTCAACTCACATTTTTAAAAAAATGTGTGTTGAAAAAAGCAGCAACATGTTTGTTAAAAACTTCACCAAAATGTGCATTAACCTCCCTAGCGGTCTGATTATGTCAGGATTTCTGTGCTCAAAGCGGTACATTGTTTTCAATGGAAATATGTTTTTTATTGTAGGCCTGTAATTCTTAGGAATAACTCACAGAAATCTGTCCGAACAAGAGTCTAGTAAACATCCCGGGTATGATAAAATTTTAAACAAAAAATCATAAATTATAATTTAAGAATCATAAAAAATAATATTATAATAAAAAAATTTAATTCAATAATGTAATCAAACCAAAAACACTGAAATTTGAAATAGAGCGTAAAGTTCGCACATCACTGAGCAAAGTCGCAAAATCGTTTTCAGCGTCTGATGACAAATTTCTCCAGGGATCATCACTCAATTCTGCAAGTGGTTCTAATTTACTATCGCTGTTCTCTAGCTGGTCTAAAACCGCTTTTGACCTAAAGGGATGCTTTTTGGATGCCATGGACGTTTCTTAGTTTCCAAACAGAAAGAACGGTAAAAAAATGCAAGCATGGCACTGGACAAAGTAGTAGGGACAAAATGTATGTGAAATGGTTTGATATAGTAATGTAATACTATCAGATTTTAGTGTATTATGTGTATGTAAAATTGTGACATTTTTAATCTCCCGCCAGTTCCATCCCCCGTACGTCCCAACGCTCGCAGGGAACGGAACCCGGAAAAACGGATGCCGTCATCAGCCAGAGGATATGGCCGGGGACGCAGCAGGAGGACAACGCGGGACCGCAGGACAAGGTAAGTGATCCAGGGATCCCAGAGAAAGGTTGCAGTGTAATTCCGAGTGTAGGTCGGGGTTACCACTTCTGGTACAGAAACTTAACCACAAGCTACACTTGGGAATACCCCCAGGGGGGTTAAAAAAAGCCAAACTGAACCTTTTTTGGGCATGGAGTATTGTGTGGTTTTTTTTAATATGCATTTAGGTGCGTTGATAGCGTATTTGTCAAATGACAAAAAAATGGATGTCTGCTGACAGCATTTGGGGTGCCATTACCAATGAATGGCACCCAAAAGCGCACTGCGTATTTTAAC